GGGAAAATTTTTCGAAACAATGAGAAACAAATGACTAGGCAACTCAAATGGTTAAATCATTGGAGACGGATAAGTTTCAGTAAAGCACCGCTTACATTTGCAAGAAAATTCATTTACGAAGAAAGTACTGCACATACTAATACTTTTACTTCGCCATTGCATTCCGTTGTGTTTATATCACCAGTAAACTATGCCTAAACATTAGAATCTCCAAGCACAACAGGAAATGATTTGCAATGAATTGTCTGTGGACAAGCTATTCGAAAGCTAATAAAACGCATGGTGATTTCACGGCAGCTTGTTGATATAACTTGCTCAAACCATTTAGTAGATTAAATCAAAATTTTAGTGAAAATCGTCACACTAACACATGGAAAGGCGTGTAACATATAGTGAGTAACAATATAAAATTACCTAATGTCTGCAAAGGTATAGCATAATATAAAACATAATAAAAATGCTGATAAATAAGCAAGCAGAATAGGAGTAGTAATTAAGTCTTGAATAAACGGCAGCAAATTTTCTGCGAAAATATAAAGATTTGAATTATTAATGACAGTGTGGGATTTGAAAACATCAAAAAGTTTACAGGGTAGTAATAACAGCATTTTGATGTAGATGTTTATATAGCATTATGGTAACTCCCATTAAAAGTTTTGTTGTCGAGTGTTGCAGCCTATTATTCTATATATTTTCAAGGCCAAATGCAACCCAAGTCAAATTACTCCAAGCAAATGTTTCTGTTTTTCTTGATATGATTTATGCACAAAAAGTGAAATAAACGTTAGTTTTGCATTAACGTGTATGTTTGGCGGCATCCAGTTTCGGATTTGCGTTGCAATGTGGCTAGCCACAGGACGCCTGCGCCTACAGGGGGACCATGGGTGGATTGCGCTGCACCACCCACAGCTCCATCCACAAACCCCTTATCCAGTGTAAACCCGAAGGAATAAGACCGGGAGGCATGCGGATGGGAACCACGTTTCATCAATGGAGCAGGCCAAATCTCCTTCCCAGGCAAAGACAAGCACTCTTTATTTGGCGGTGGCTGGACCGTAGTCCGCTGCAGACTGAGTGCATGGAACCACTCTTGGAGCCTAACGCGGCCACAAGAACCATGCATCCCGTCCTCTCCAACAACGACCAACTGTCTCCTAGAGCCAGTATTTTTTTTTTTTTTTTTTTTTTTTTTTTTTTTTTTTTTTTTTTTTTTTTTTTTTTTTTTTTTTTTTTTTTTTTTTTTTTTTTTTTTTTTTTTTTTTTTTTTTTTTTTTTTTTTTTTTTTTTTTTTTTTTTTTTTTTTTTTTTTTTTTTTTTTTTTTTTTTTTTTTTTTTTTTTTTTTTTTTTTTTTTTTTTTTTTTTTTTTTTTTTTTTTTTTTTTTTTTTTTTTTTTTTTTTTTTTTTTTTTTTTTTTTTTTTTTTTTTTTTTTTTTTTTTTTTTTTTTTTTTTTTTTTTTTTTTTTTTTTTTTTTTTTTTTTTTTTTTTTTTTTTTTTTTTTTTTTTTTTTTTTTTTTTTTTTTTTTTTTTTTTTTTTTTTTTTTTTTTTTTTTTTTTTTTTTTTTTTTTTTTTTTTTTTTTTTTTTTTTTTTTTTTTTTTTTTTTTTTTTTTTTTTTTTTTTTTTTTTTTTTTTTTTTTTTTTTTTTTTTTTTTTTTTTTTTTTTTTTTTTTTTTTTTTTTTTTTTTTTTTTTTTTTTTTTTTTTTTTTTTTTTTTTTTTTTTTTTTTTTTTTTTTTTTTTTTTTTTTTTTTTTTTTTTTTTTTTTTTTTTTTTTTTTTTTTTTTTTTTTTTTTTTTTTTTTTTTTTTTTTTTTTTTTTTTTTTTTTTTTTTTTTTTTTTTTTTTTTTTTTTTTTTTTTTTTTTTTTTTTTTTTTTTTTTTTTTTTTTTTTTTTTTTTTTTTTTTTTTTTTTTTTTTTTTTTTTTTTTTTTTTTTTTTTTTTTTTTTTTTTTTTTTTTTTTTTTTTTTTTTTTTTTTTTTTTTTTTTTTTTTTTTTTTTTTTTTTTTTTTTTTTTTTTTTTTTTTTTTTTTTTTTTTTTTTTTTTTTTTTTTTTTTTTTTTTTTTTTTTTTTTTTTTTTTTTTTTTTTTTTTTTTTTTTTTTTTTTTTTTTTTTTTTTTTTTTTTTTTTTTTTTTTTTTTTTTTTTTTTTTTTTTTTTTTTTTTTTTTTTTTTTTTTTTTTTTTTTTTTTTTTTTTTTTTTTTTTTTTTTTTTTTTTTTTTTTTTTTTTTTTTTTTTTTTTTTTTTTTTTTTTTTTTTTTTTTTTTTTTTTTTTTTTTTTTTTTTTTTTTTTTTTTTTTTTTTTTTTTTTTTTTTTTTTTTTTTTTTTTTTTTTTTTTTTTTTTTTTTTTTTTTTTTTTTTTTTTTTTTTTTTTTTTTTTTTTTTTTTTTTTTTTTTTTTTTTTTTTTTTTTTTTTTTTTTTTTTTTTTTTTTTTTTTTTTTTTTTTTTTTTTTTTTTTTTTTTTTTTTTTTTTTTTTTTTTTTTTTTTTTTTTTTTTTTT